CTCTACGGTGTTCTCTAGCTAGTAGCATGATGGCGAGCCACGCCGACATTCTTCTCGCTGACTGAATGATTCAGCGATCGCGAGATGCGTAGGAGTCTCATTCGTAGCCGTCTCTCCTCCTCTGAGGTCGGCGTGAAAACAACAAAATCCTGAGTTTCCACTACCCACGCAACTCAACCCCTAGATTCTGGCTAACGCGCGACTAGAGGTAGAGACTAACCCTAGAGAGAGGCAGATTCTGCCTTATTATAAAAATATATTTATTGGGGGCCGGCGCCGCGGCTCACTAGGCTAATCCTCCGCCTTACGGCGCCAGCACACTGGGTTCTAGTCCCGGTCGGGGCACCGGATTCCGTCCCAGTTGCTCCTCTTCCAGGCCAGCTCTCTGCTGTGGCCCGGGAGTGCAGTGGAGGATGGCCCAAGTGCTTGGGCCCTGCACCCCATGGGAGACCAGGAGAAGCACCTGGCTCCTGCCTTCAGATCAGCGCGGTGCGCCGGCCGCAGCACACCGGCCGCGGCGGCCATTGGAGGGTGAACCAATGGCAAAGGAAGACCTTTCTCTCTGTCTCTCTCTCTCTCACTGTCCACTCTGCCTGTCAAAAAAAAGAAAAAAAAAGAAAGAAAAAGAAACTTTAAATAAAAATATGAACAAAACTCTTTAAAAATAAAAAAAAAGTGACTGGGTTGGGAGAGGTGGGAAGAGACAGAAAGACTCCCAGAAGGCTAGAAACAAGTTTGGCAGCAAAAGCAGGATCTGCATTAAAAAGGCAAAGAATGCAGAGTGATGTGTGGGCCCAGGAAAAAAAAAGTTGCTATGCAGAGATAAAGGGAAATTACAGGTTCAGAGTGCTAGGCACTTTCACACACCCTATACAGCATCCTTTCTCACGCACGGTAAACCCAGTGGTCAGTTTATCCTAGGCTGAACACATAATACAAAAGCCCCGACGGTCAAGAAGGGCGCACCCTCAAGCAGAGCTGTTTGCAGCATTCTTGCAGTCTCAACCTTCCCCCATGCGCTCAAAATCCCTCACTCTCTCTAACTTCCTGTAGCTAAAAGAATTCAGCGTGAGTCCCACTTTCTGCCATTTAGTTATGTACTAGATTAGGCAAAGCTCCCCACAAGGCAGGCAGATTGACTGCTCTGGGTCAGGAAAGGTCAAAGGACCAACCCTCGGGGGCGAGGGAAGCGACTGAACACTCCTCAGCTCTGAGCCAGGACAGAGTATCTTGCACTTGGAAACGGAACAGGACAGGCAACCCTGGTGACCCAACAACCCCAACATTATGAGCCCGCTCAGCAGGTCCACACGTCCTTCACCACTAAAGGTAGCTGCTTCCAGAACTTGATGTGGACCCGGGAGCCTGGGACCGAGAGATCCCCTCCCCCTCCCCGCATCAGATTCAGACAGGAAGAGCCGGCTCCTTGTCCCCGACACACACACCCCTCACCCCACCCCCAAATTCCTTCCCTCCTGGGAGTGGCTCACACACTAAAGCAACCATCTCGGGGAATGGAGAGACTCGCGGCGAGAAGGCTGGAATTGAGGGTCAGCTGGGGGATTCTTCAATAAAGGTTACCCGGGAAAAGTCTGCACTTTCTCCAGCGCCGTTCCACACGGCTCGCGGAGCCTCCCGGGCGGCTAGAGTTGGACCCCGCAGGCTCAGCGAGCTCGGTGCCACATCCGGGTAGCGAGTGAGTCCCACCCAGTCAGCAGACGCAGCCTTCACTCGACGCCCCGAGACCTCCTGGGAAGTGGAGTTCCAGGCTCGGCGCTCTGTCTACAAGGCGCAGGCGTCTGATCACACTTTCAAGGCAATCAAGGTCTCGGTAGTCTTCGACTAGTTAGATTCGGCACCAGTTAGCGGGTGGAGAGGTCCCCAAGCCTCCCCTTGGATAAGCCAGACCACACTCCCTTCCCCAGATCTCTGCTTTTTACCCAGGACCAGTGTTAATATAAAGACGCTAAGACCTGAGAAAGTATTTGCAAAAAGGGAAACAATACAAGAAACTGGGGTAGTGAGCAAATTAGGGCTGCTTTCTGTCACCATGTATGTTTGCATTTGCTAGAGTTTTATATAAATATGTACTTTTTGAACAGCTTCCTTCAGATGTGTGTGTGTGTACAGACAGATAAACATACCACGTAACTGCCCCAGTTAAAGTGTACAAGTCAATGGCTTTTGGTATATTGCATTCTTAACTTCATATTTTGTGGTAAAATATGTTAAAAAGTTGCCACTTTAGTCATTTTAAGTGTACAATTCAGAGGCATTAAGTACATTGGCAGCGTTATGCAACCCTCACTACTCTTATTTCCAAAACTCTCATCACCCCAAACAGAAACTCTATCCCTTCAACAATAACTCCCCATTCCTCCCTCCCCCCAGCCAGTGGTAACCTCTAATCAACATTCTGTATCTACCAGTTTGACTCTTCTAGGTACTTCATATAAATGGAATCATACACTACATATTTGTCCTTTGTTATCATCTGTTGATGGACATTTGGATTGTTGACAACTGTGGGTATTGTGAATAATGCTGTAAGAAACATTGGTGTGGGGCCCGCACCATGGCACAGTAGGTTAATCCTCCACCTGTGGTGCAGGCATCCCATATGGATGCCAGTTCTCATCCCAGCTGCTCCTCTTCCAATCCAGCTCTCTGCTACGGCCTGGAAACAGTAGAAGTTGGCCCAAGTCCTTGGGCCCCTGCACCCACATGAGAGACCCAGAAGAAGCACCTGGCTCCTGGCTTCGGATTGGCGCAGCTCCAGCTGTTGCAGCCATTTGGGGAGTGAACCAACGGAAGGAAAACCTTTCTGTCTCTCTCACTGTCTGCAACTCTACCTCTCAAATTAACAAAGAAAATCTTAAAAAAACACACATTGGTATACAATGTGTATCTGGTTTCTTTGAGTTTCCTCTTGTTTTTCTGCTCTTTCACTGATTTCCACTTTGACCATTATTTTTTCTCTTCTTGTACTTTGAAGTTTTATTTATTTATTTTTATTTGAAAAACAAAGATCTAGCCGGCGCCGTGGCTCAATAGGCTAATCCTCCACCTTGCGGCGCCGGCACACCGGGTTCTAGTCCCGGTTGGGGCGCCGGATTCTGTCCCGGTTGCCCCTCTTCCAGGCCAGCTCTCTGCTATGGCCAGGGAGTGCAGTGGAGGATGGCCCAGGTGCTTGGGCCCTGCACCCCATGGGAGACCAGGAAAAGCACCTGGATCCTGGCTCCTGCCATCAGATCAGCGCGGTGCGCCGGCTGCAGCGGCGGCCATTGGAGGGTGAACCAACGGCAAAGGAAGACCTTTCTCTCTCTGTCTCTCTCTCACTGTCCACTCTGCCTGTCAAAAATAAAATAAAAAAAAAATAAAATAAAAAAAAAATAAAAAAATAAAAAAAAAACAAAGATCTGCCATCTGCTGGTTCATTCCCTCAATGCCCACAATAGCCAGAACTGGTCCAGGCTGAAGCCAGCAGCCCGGAACTCCCTCTGGGTCTCCTGTGTGAGTGACAGTAACCCAAGCCATCATTTGTTGCCTCCCAGGGTGGGCATTAGCAGGAAGCTGGAATCTGAAACAGAGCCAGGACTCAAATCGAGGCACTCTGACAGGGAATGCAGGTATCCAGAGTGGCATCTTCTCCATTGCACCAAACGCCCATCCTGAGTCTTACTTGTTCTTCCCTATTTTTGGTTACTAAAGTGAAAGCAGAAGTCATTGTTTTAAGACCTTTCTACTGTTGTAATATAGGTTTTTTAATTTTTTTAATTTGACAGGTAGAGTTATAGACAGAGAGAGAGAAAGGTCTTCCTTCTGTTGGTTCACTCCCCAGTTGGCCGCTATGGCCAGCGCGCTGTGCCGATCCAAAGCCAGGAGCCAGGTGCTTCTTACTGGTCTCCCATGTGGGTGCAGGGGCCCAAGCACCTGGGCCATCCTCCAATGCCTTCCCCGGGCTGCCGCCTACAACACCGGCATCCCATATGGGCTCTGGTTCAAGAACCAGGTGCTTCAGTTCCGATTCAGCTCTCTGCTGTGGCCTGGGAAAGCAGTGGAGGATGTCCCAAGTGCTTGGGTGCCTGCACTTTAAAAAAATATACTGTTTTTGTTTTTTTTTTTCTTTTTAAGATTTGTTTTCCAAAAAATAACCTTTAAAAATTATATTTTGAACTAGTACTACTTTTTTACCTACTTTTGCTTTTTAAAAAATATTTATTTATGTATTTGAAAGAGTTACACAGAGAGAGCAGAGGCAGAGAGAGAGAGAGGTCTTCCATCCGCTGGTTCACTCCCCAAATGGTAGCAACAGCCAAACTGTGCCGTTCCGAAGCCAAGAGCTATGAGCTTCTTCCAGGTCTCCCACGCGGGTACTGAGGCCTAAGGGCTTGGGCCATCTACTACTGCTTTCCCAGAGAGCTGGATCAGAAGTGGAGCAGCCTGGACTTGAACCAGTGCCCATATGGGATGCCAGCTCTGCTGGTGGCAGCTTTACCTGCTACACCACAGCGCCACCCCCCCACCCACTTTTACTTTTAACCTATTTGTGTTTTTGTATTTAAGAACATTTCTTTTGGCCGGTGACGCGGCTCAATAGGCTAATCCTCCACCTGCAGCACTGGCACACCGGGTTCTAATCCCGGTCGGGGTGCCAGATTCTGTCCCAGTTGCTCCTCTTCCAGTCCAGCTCTCTGCTGTGGCCTGAGAGGGCAGTGGAGGATGGCCCAGGTCCCTGGGCCCTGCACCTGCATGGGAGACCAGGAAAAGCACCTGGCTCCTGGCTTCCTTCAGATCAGCGCAGTGCACAGCCATTGGAGGGTGAACCAATGGCAAAAGGAAGACCTTTCTCTCTGTCTCTCTCTCTCTCTCACTGTCCACTCTGCCTGTCAAAAAAAAAAAAAGAACATTTCTTTTTTTAAAGATTTATTTGTTTAAAAAAAAAAGATTTATTTGTTTAGTTGAAAGGCAGAGTTACGGGGGGGTGGGGGGGGCAGAAAGAGAGATCTTCTATCTGCTAGTTCACTCCCTAAATGGCTTCAACAGCCAGGGCTGGGGCAGGTTGAAACCAGGAGCCAGTAACTTGATCTAGGTCTCCCATGTGAGTGCAGGGGCCCAAGCACTTGGCCCATTTTCTACTGCTTTCCAAGGTGCATTAGCAGGGAGCTGTAATGGAAGTAGAACAGCCAGGTCTTGAACCAAAGCCCATATGAGATACCAGCGTTGCAGGCAATGGTTTTACTGGCTACACCACAGCACCAGGGTCTTGCTTTTTTATTTTCAACCCAATCTAATCATTTCTAACCTATAATTGGAGTGTTTAGACTATCTACATTTAAAGTGATTGTTAATATGATTAAAGTTTACTAACTTATTTGCTTTCTATTGGTACTACTTCTTTGTTCTCTTTTTCTGCCTTTTGTATTAATCAATATTACTTTAATTCCATTTTGTCTCCTTTTTGACTTATTAGTTTAGTGGCTGCTTAAAAGTTTGTTGGAATACATCTTTACCTTAAAATATTCTAAATTATTATACCACTTCATGAAGCATATAAGACCCTTATATTAATATACTTCCATTTTACCCTTCCTAGACTTTATGCTATTGTCATGTATTTATTTATTTTTAATTTTTTCAAAGATTTATTTATTTATTTGGAAGTCAGAGTTACACACAGAGAGAAGGAGAGACAGAGACAGAGAGACAGAGAGACAGAGAGAGAGAGAGAGAGAGAGAGAGAGTCTTCTATCTGCTGGTTTACTCCCCAGTTGGCCTCAATGGCCAGAGTTGTGCCAGGAGCCAGGAGCTTCCTCCAGGTCTCCCACATGGGTGCAGGGGCCCAAGGAATTGGGCCATGTTACACTGCTTTCCCAGGCCACAGCAGAGAGCTGTATCAGAAGTGGAGCAGCTGGGACTCAAACAGCTGCCCATATGGGATGCTGGCACTGCAGGCGGCGGCTTTACCCGCTACGCCACAGTGCCAGCCCCTTATTAATTTTTTATTTGAAAGGCAGAGTTACAAACAGAAGGGGAAAGAGAGAAAGAGAGAAAAATCTATCTACTGGTCCACTCTCCAAATGGCCGCAACAGTGGGGCTGGTCCAGGCCAAAGCCAGGAGCCTGGAACTCTATATCTAGGTCTCCCAAATGGGTGCTGGGGCCCAAAGACTTGAGCCATCTTCTGCTGCTTTCTGAGGCCATTATCAGGGAGTTCGATAATAAGTGAAGCAGCCAGGACTCAAACTGGCATGCACATGGAATGCCAGCATCACAGGCAGGGCCTTAACCTACTATGCCACAAACCAGCCCCTGCATTTTACTTTTATTTTAAATTTTATTAAAAGATTTTTATTTATTTATTTGAGAAATAGAGTTACAGACAGTGAGAGGGAGAGACAGAGAGAAAGGTCTTCTTTCTGTTGGTTCACCCCTGAAATGACCGCAACCGGTGGAGCTGCGCCGATCCGAAACCAGGAGCCAGGTGTTTCTTCACAGTCTCCCACGCAGGTGCAGGGGCCCAAGGACTTGGACCATCTTCTACTGCTTTCCCAGGCCACAGCAGAGAGCTGGATTGGAAGAGGAGCAGCCTGGACTAGAACCGGCGCCCATATGGGATGCCAGTGCCGCAGGTGGAGGATTAACCCACTGCACCATGGCACTGGCCCCACATTTGACTTTTAACCCACAATATTTTGTTATTATTTTTGTTTAAAT